GAAACCCTATGGGGCAGTTCTACCCTGTCCTACAGGGTCACTATGAATCGAAATCGACTTAATGGCAGTGGGTGTGGTTTTGGTTTTTTTTTCTCCACATAGGACACTTCAAAAGATTAAAAATAGTAAAAGCACACCCCTTTCAGATTACTATTCATTTCAGACATGAAAAGCAGCAGGGGGGAAAAAAGTCACGTAAGTCGCACAAGATCCTAGAATAGAACCTTGACCATTAAGTCCTAATTTGTAAAGTGAAGTGGCAAACAGTAGCAATCATTCTGTTAATTCAGGCTAAAAACCCACCTTCACCTGTAACACCCAACTTATGAGACAAAAGTGCTTTTTTGGCCTGAATCATACACTTCAATTTGAACAAAAAAAACAGCCTTGGTCTAATTCTCCACTGACATACCTATACTACCAACAGAGAATAAATGGGAGAGGCAAGAAGGAAAGCAATGTACAATGTTTTAGTCTTCTATATGGAATAAACACCAAAATATAGATGGTGCAAAATGAACAGGCATTGTCTTAAACACAATTAAGAAATGAATCATTATGAAATCACGTAAGGAACAAAACAAAAAAAACACAGTAGACGTACAGATCGAAAAGTATGCAGCTTGAAAAATAATGTATAAATAAAAAAATTAAGTGCACCATCCATACTCATTATACTCTACTAGCAAAAATTATAAAGTTCAATATTGATGGATTGGGTGGAAACACAGACAAACATTACATTTGGCATTTTAAATTGATGCAGTGTTTCTGGAGATCAATTTGCCAAGGCATAAGTAACTAAAAAGGATCATACTCTTTGATGATGCATGCATACAGCATTTTGGGGAAGACATTTCAATGAAACAATAAAAAATAAAAATGCCACTTACAGAAAAAAAATTGGTATTCATGCTATATTTTACAGCTATAAATGGCAAACCCTTCATGTGCCTGACTTGAGGAGGTTACTGGGTAAGCCACAGGATAGAAAACAAGAGGACCATGTAGATATATTAAAAAAAAGACTCTATGAAGCTATGAATGTGTGCACAATGATATTAACTTGGGAGAGGTCACACAGCTAATTAAATATTTGATGACTGTGAATTTCACTAGTTATGCGCCACATAACGTCCCTTCGGGCAATGTCCGATCACACATATGTCCGTGGTCCCATAAGGTTACACAGGCAGTCCCAAGGTTACAAATGAGATCTGTTCTCTGTTCCTAAGTCTGTCTTTAAGTCGAATTTGTAGGTAAGTCAGAAACAGTACATATGATTCTTATTTAGCGTCAGTTAGTCAAATGTTTGTCTTAGTATACAGCATGTACTTTGCCTTTCTATGTATATAAAACACTTTAAGAAACACTTCCATACCTCGAATGTTTTCATGGGCATCACAAAGTAGTGCATGCATTCATTATTACCAATCATTGTATTCAACTCAAATTTTTAATGTAATAGGTTTCATGGCAGTCCATTCTTAAATATGAGTTGCCTGTAAGTCAGACGCTCGTGACCCAGGAGCTGCCTGTAATATGGTGTTTGCATAACGTCCAAATCACATAACGTCCTGTTTCACAGAATGTATCATGGATGTTAATCAGTGCATGACTGTGTATTTAAATTGGTTTTGATTTCAGTGCCTATTTTTTTACCAGATGGTATCAGAACTGTGCAGACATTTGGGAGTAATAAGACTAATTTCTCAATCTCAGATCCCTACATGAAATTTTAGGCAATTTGGCCTTTACAGCTCTGAATCATTACCCTCATTTCAGTCACTCAGCTGAAAAAACTGGAGAGACATGTGAGGAACTAGAGGCAGCTAACTCCTCTTCAGAACTGGTACCTCCAGCAACAGGGAAGCTAGGGGCAGCATGTGGCATGTCCTCCTAGCCCACCTCTTTGGAGAACAACTTTTACTCATCAGCCCTCAGTGGGAGGGACGGGTAGTGGGCAGGTCCCTCACCTCCAAAGATGTTTCCTTGGTTATGTTTTTTCAAGAGATGAGAGAAACAGTTCTCAATGCTCCAAAAGATGGTGAGAGAGCCCCCACTCAGAAAATAAAAGTAGGAATCAGGTCTTGGGGTCCTTTTGGAGAACTAAACTTGGGCTTTCTATGCTACCAATAAGGGCGAAGGTGGATGCATGGTTTGTTTCTTGCTTTTGTCAGCCCCCAAATCTGACAGTCACACGGAGTCACCAGAGAGTCAAATAACAAGTAAGGAAGGTTGCAGGCGCCATGGCTCCTCACTTCAACAGCCCTACAACACTGCACCATTCTAGTTTCTCATCACCAGTTGATTCTTGGGCTCCTACAGGGCTCTCTCCTTTAGGTCCATATTTACATTCTCCACCCTTGTTGAAAAACTTCAGGTACTGGTCTGCAAATACGAAGTTCAGGAGTGAACTTGGTTACTGGAGCTACAGAAAGTACAATCAATAAAGCTACTAGGCTAACCTGACTCTAATAGCATGTGGCTTAGTGGCCATACAACTTCCAAGAAAGGAAAGGGAGAGAAAGAGCCCAATAATTTAACAAGTGAATGTCTTTCATTTTACCTGATACTTAAAAATAAAGCTCCTTAATTACCTGAATCTTTACAGTAAGTTTAAATCTACATTTTTTAAGAGCGATTCTGAAATCTGCCCTGTTTAATAATCCATAACATCAAGAAAACATTTTAAAGTGTCTCTCACAATTAAACCCATCCACAACCTTGTATAAATCAAAATTTTGCTACCATATCAAAATGTTACACTGGGGCTGTATAACATTGCCCATGTCCTCATTACATGCAACACTAATTACTACCAGCAGATTCTGAATTTTCTGCACATTAGAAGCTTTTAGAGGAGCTATAAAAAATTTCAGGCACCATTAATTTAAATTTGTATTGAAATTTCCTTTTGACAGATGGCCAAAAATTACCTATTATTTAGAGTACCAGAGCTGCCTGTTTGCACATTAAAAGAGGAAAGGGAAAAATTAAAAGCAAGAAGGAAATTTATGTCACGTTCATTACCTGTTAAATGTTAAGGAGCATTATCCTGCATGAATAAATTATTCCATACAAGCTCGACTCCAGCTGCAGGCAACTGGCATGCTCTGGCTGATAAAAACCATCTAGAGTCCACAGCAGACAATCATAAAAAGCCCCTCTTAACCAGGAGCCACTTACAGGAGGACGAGGGTGATCGATGAAACAAGCAACTAACTGCTTCTCTGAGCATCACTGAAAACACTGAAGAAAATTAGCAAACCACCTCACCGTGCAAAGCAGGAGGACAGCCCTAAATCGGACACAACACAACTTCAAATGTGAGAACTGCACCCAACAAAAACATCTATTTATAATTAACATTCTCTAATAAATCAAGGCAAAAATCATACACCTCTTTCCTTCTGCTTTTTCCCCTGGCTTCTAGTTATACAGACACTCCCAGACTCACTCGGGATGATTATAGATGACTTCAAAATATACCCTACTCTTGCGTGAGGAAATAAAAAACGTAACTGACACAAAAGGGTGCAATGGAGTGTAAATATTTTCACAGCCTTCTGGGAGTGGGGCATGACAGGAGGCTTTTGTTTAGTTCACTAACCTGCCTAAAGGTATGTATTTATCATAAGAAAGCAGGGAATGTTTATACTATAACCTCAGAATAACTAGACAGGCTTCCCAAGGGCTGCAATCAGCTAATCCTGGTCACTTCATTTACTTACTCCTTCCTAAGTACACATGTGTGGAACATTTACTACACTCTGACTAAGAATGCTTTTTAATCTAAGTATCGATATGCATATTATACAACAAAAATACACAACTGTAAATGTGTAATTAAACAATTCAGTGTGTGCGGTTCCAAACGTAAATGTTGACATTTATATAGTTAGGCAGATGCCCTTTCATATTACAAAGATTCTTGGAGGGTAACAATACATACAGTTAATTTCTGTTTGCCATTATTTATAGGCTTTGGGGAAAAAAATCCTAATATCCTTTTATTGTATAAGGACACAGAGTAAAGAGGCACTGAAAGTGACAGCACAGGTGGTCCCAGGAGAAGACTGTAGTTTTCATATACACAGCTTCAGTAAAACTGTAACAGATACAACTACCCACTCTCCAAAACATTCAACTGTTGAAAAATACGAGAAAAAGAATTCACAGCAATGTTGGCCAATGTTTGAAAACTGTCCTTTCCTTCTGATGTCTACTTAATACAATGGCATAAGGTTTTGATATTTACATTGTGCCTGGCTCAAAGTGATTAAGGCAATTTTCATATTTTACTATTTTTCCTTCTTGTCCTGGTAACCTGTTTTTCTTGTTTGCTTACTAAATAAACTCAGGTTATCCTTAGAACATCACATTCTGTTGTTTAAGACAAACATATCCAAGTTATTAGGTCCTAAACCCTTTTCTTCCCTCCCTGCAACTTGTCTATAAAGCAACAGAGAAGGCAGAGAAGACAGACTCAAAACCTAAGAAGAATGAATCACTATACTGGAAACCAAGACATTATTTTTTAGGGGAAAAAAAAAAAAATTCTTTTTGATAACGAAAAATGCTGTCAGACTTAAAGGTTCTGATACAGTTTCATAGGATGGAACTGTTTTCCAAAATATGAGACTAGTATGTATTTCCATATAAAGCAATTTGTTTACTTCCTATTTATCTTACAGCCAAGGCCTAATCAAAGAAAAGCAGCTACTCTTTTCCATATGGCGAGACATAATAAAATGAGCAATCCAAGACAGTTCTTATGATGCAATCTTGGTCTATAAATCTCATTCTGAGAGAGAAATGGGACCATATTTTCAAAAATCTCAACCACACACCTAAGAGTAATCCCAAAATGCAGTTAACCATTATTTTCAGAAGCCCAGCAAATCATTCTCTAAATCTCAAAGAATCCAATATTAGATTTATTCAAACCACTTAGAGCCCTTTTAAGCCATCCCTTCATCTGTGAATCAGAGTCCTACCTTGATGGAGTCTCTGTCTACAGGCAAAACAGCAGCAACACAAGCAGAAGTGGTGTTGGGAAAAAGGAAAAAAAGAAAAAAGTACTAGTTAGTTTACACAAAAGCATACATTTATCATACCTGATCTCTGCTAAATAATAAATTGCATAGATGTTAATTTTGCTGTAAAGTTAATTATTAATACTACTCACTCAGATTTACTAAGTGCCAATCTACCTTTGATGCAATTTCAGAAGACCTAAAGGTGGATATTCATATTATTTATACTCCTTACCAACTTTTCCACTTATAAAACTGTTTATAATCATGCCTCAGCCCCGTACTACAGCATTAAGATAACTCGATGACAAATATTACAGTGTTTCCAATATCAGGGATGGGAGATTTATGCTTATGTGATAAAAATCATTTACCCAAGATTATAATTCACAGGAATGACACTGTGAAACAGGAGCAGATATGAGCTTTTAACTCTGAACCACACGCTTCAAACCAATGAACCACCCAGGCGCTAAGTAAATTCCCACAGTGGAACACTGGGAGAGACTTTCATTTGCTGTTCTGCCATTAGCTAATAAAAATGCCTAGTAAGCACCATATAGACACTTAGTCACACCAAAATGTCTCTGCAATATCATCTACTTTAGAGGAGGGAGGAAACCAATCTAGAAGGAGCACAACTGGCCTTTAAATCAATTATTTGCATAAACAATTGTGTTAGTCTTATAGGAAGAAACGAGTTAATTTCATGCTTCTTAACAGACGGGGTGAGAGAAGTAGTTAAAACCAACAAATTTCATTAATTTGGGCTGCACCTTCTCAATTACCAAGACTACTAAAATTGTTTTCTTGTGAGATTTTTACTGCACTATATAGGCTGATTTGATTTAAAACTAATAATTGATTATACTAAACATCAAGTGAGCCTTTATCATGAAGTCTTTCCCCAAAACAGACTAAGTCAACATTAGTTATTAATATAACTCACTGTTTTAAACACAGAGCATCTTGGGATTTCATTACTGACTGGGAACATAGAAGGCAGCAAGGGATCAAAAGCAACAATCAGGAAACAGGCCCTTTGCCTTTGGGGAGTGCATTAGCTCTTACCAACTGCTAGGGTATCATTTGGCAAATGACTGCTTCCAATAATTAATTTACCTTCCAGCAGAAATCCTTTGTTTAGTCACTGGTAAAATTAAATTCAGAGACAGAATAAATCACGGTATCCAGAACCCACCTTCAGCAGCAGGTAGGTACTATTAGGTTGACATCCTGAGAGAATCTCTCACCTCTTTGGTGATCATTGTCATGGTGTTTCTTCTCATCTTTAATTGGAAGGTGGGACTGGCCTCCCAGGGCACTGGAGAGGGCCAGAAGCCCGGCACTGCTACCGATGGGTGGAATAGCAGGGGGCTGAAGGCCTGAAGGATGTGGAGTCAGAGGTACCGGCAGACCATGTCCATGTGATAAATGCTGGGCCTGGAGTTGTTGCTGCTGTGAAAAATTAGACACAGATATTGAATATGTCCCCTATATCCACTCCCTCCCAAACATACAGGGAACGGAGGTACAAATACATAATGAAATCAAAAATCCAGCACTCGTGAAGGAAGGACTTATCCCTAACATATATATTTTTAAAAGGGGAGGGAAAGAGTTGCACAGTTGATAAACACTCTCCTTCTTACTTAGATTTGGGGATTTTGCATATGCAGAGTAAATAACTTAATTTTAAAATTGGGAGATTATCTAAAAAACTTTTAACAGCTAACATAGATTTCTTTCACGAAGCATCTGTAGTCTGTTCTCAAAAAAAATAAGACCTTGCTATCATACATCTCTAATCAAAACATATACGTGAATAACTGTTAAAGCGGTTATGTCGAACAAAAAAAAAATTGAGAAAATCAGTGTTAAACAGTCCTCCCAGAACCAGCTGCACAGCATGCGGCAAGAGTTAATTTGAAAGAGAAAACCTGAATTAACAACCCAGAAAAGGAAACTGGTTGCAGCCACCGTTTTAAGCCCTTTAAGTGTCCTCAGCGGTACTTGAGCAAATTACTAAGGAAAATCTAATGTAGCAAGGCTTGGGTTCTCCTGTAGGCTTGCTCAATAATGCTGAAATAATTGGGCACTCTGTGCACGTTTAGTGATGCTCGAATGAAAAGCTAGAGGCCTGCCCTTGTACTCTTCTCTAGCGGCCAACTCTGTGTTGTGACAGGTTTATTTGAGTGGGACTGTGATGCATGCACCAGTAACTGTGCTGACAAGAGTTTAAAGTCATTTTTACCAGCACTCTGCCAACACAGAAAGAAAGCCCTCGAGAGGCTGGAATGGGAGTGCTTGACCTCAGCCGAGGCTGCATCAAGCTCTGCTGTAGGAACTGCTGTGGGCAGGCCTTGTTGCTGCTTCTGAGTGGAAAGAGGAGGAGGAGGAAGAGGAGGTGAAAGGGGGACGTTAAGTTAAATATATCCCTCAACAGGAATCCTTCCAACGCAAAACTCTGTTTAACAATATTCTCTGAGAACAAGTGTTGAGTAATTCTCAGACTAACTTCTATAATGACAACATTTCAGGTCATGCCTTTAAATCAATCGCTTTTCAAGCCTAACCTATAAAAGGCAAATAGATCCTTCTATAAATTTCTTTCCAAACAGATTTCACAAATTCGCTGAAAAGGAATTGAAATTATTCTTATAAGAAGGATCTTGAAATGTTTTTCTTTTTAAATGAAATACTTCAAAAAAAATTTTTTTTCTTCTCTCCAAACTGCTTTTATTTTCTTCCTCTCCCCCTTCTTCCTGATTTGGACTATAAAAGTCAAAGTATAGCATTGATTAGTTCTTTCCTCCTTTTGACTTGCACCTATTTTATGGCTATATGCACTTAAAATACAGTCAATAAAATAAAGTACTAACACCTTTAAGGCAAGTTTACGTACACAAAACGGAAAACCGGGGCAGTGATCCAGATACTCCAAATACCAACTCCCATTCTCCAAGTCCTGCTGAGGCTTTACTTAACTAGGTAGTTCAAAATAATGTATTTCTTCATACGAGTGGTCAACACTGTGTTCATAATTCCTTATGCACTGTTATTTAGTGATGCTCAAAAAGTATGAGCACACAATTGTATTTTCTAAATGTGTAGAAAGTAACATCTATAAAGAAGAGAAATAAAACACGGACTTTAGGTAGGGGCCCTGGTGGCACAGTGGTTAAGAGCTCAGCTGCTAACCAAAAGATCAGCAGTTTGAAACTACCAGCTGCTCCGCGGAAATCCTATGGGCAGTTCTACTCTGTTCTATAGGGTCGCTATGAGTTGGAATCAACTCAATGGCAACGGGTTTTAGGTAAATATATAGCACATTTATTTCAAAACCTTGTTGAACTGAAATAGCCAGAAAATTGCTCCAATTCTCTTTCTCCTCTAAATTCCCCTAACACTTCATGCGTGCCAGTGAGGCACGGAGTCTTTTTATCTCAGGTCAGAGTTCAACTGGCAAGCATTTATTAAGGGCCTGCATATGTGTCTCCTTCTCTCATTTCCTTTCCTAGATCCTAAGCTCTGTGAGATGCTGCATCTGACCCAAACCCTAGCAAACTGTAGGCACTGAAACATTTGTATGGTATAAGTTTAAAAAAAAAACTCAGCCAAAAGCAGTATCTTTGATACCTTCAATGATCCAGATGATCCCTTTTATTCTTTTTCTCTCACAGGACAAAAAATAAGCAGTACACAGTCTCATTTTTCCATTCGACCAGGGATTTCTCAGAGGCAGGAAATATGGTCGCAGCCGGTTTGTCACACGTGACATTCACAGAGAAGACTTCTTGGGATCCTCACTTGGCTCTATTCTACCTCAAAAGAGCTCAAAAAACTACCTTATCCTTTCCTTCCTTTATCCCCATCGTAGAGGAAGAAGGGCCCCTTTCCCTTCTAATGCTGACCCTCCCCACCAGTACATGGTACATCACGTCTCTTCCCTTCTCCATTTCACCACCCCCTCAACTCTCCAACTCCACTCCACCATCCTCAGTTGTCCTCTCCGCCACTGGTTTTGTCCCAGTGATTGTAATACTGTATCGCTATAGGGTCGCTATGAATCGGAATCAACTTGACGACAAACGATTTGGTGTTTTCTTTTCCCCCCAACACGTTGTTTAAGACTAATTGCCTATCTAACATCAAAAGAACATGAGTTAGCATTTTTTCAGGGGGGCAAAAAAAAAAAACACACACACACACACTATATTTTAATCACTTTTTTTGTCCTCCGTTGCTCCTAAAACGGTGCCTTGCACATTAACGGGCACTTGATAAATATTTGTTAAATTTAATTAAAGCAACCTTCTTTTGCCCTCTTCAGCTACTGCCCTACATATATATTCTTGTCTTCACACAGCCAAACCTCTGTAAAAACTAATCTAAACCTGCTGCCTCAACTTCTCAACAAGCCCTCCGCGCCATACACTCACCCCTTAATCCACTGTAATCTGGATTCCAGGCCCACTCACCATTCCCACAAAAGTGATGACTACTCGGACAGCAGTTATTTCAAGATTTCACCGTTTTCTTTTTTTCTGAACATCTGAAGCCATAGTCAGCATATCTTCCTTGCTGAGACCCCCCCCCCCACCTGCTTCAGTAAGACGGCCATGATCACCAAGGGCCTAGTTTTACCTCTTTGAATGCTCCCGTTGTATTTCCTCTTGGCTTTTTCCTCACTTGCTCACTAAATAAGGAGCCCTGATGGCACAGCAGTCAAAGTGCTCAGCTGCGAACTGAAAGGTCGGCAGTTCGAACCCACCAACCGCTCTGCGGAAGAAAGATGTAGCAGTCTGCTTCCACAAAGATTTGCTGCCTTGGAAACCCTATAGGGCAGTTCTACTCTGTCCTGTAGGGTTGCTATGGGTCAGAATCGACTTGACAGCAACAGGTTTGTTTTTTTTTTGTTTTGTTTTGTTTTGCTCACTAAATAGGAAGAGTCCTAAACCATCTGCTCTTCTCTGGCATCACCCACCTTTACACAAATGACTCCCACATCTCCCTCCCAAGCTCCAGTAACCCTGGCTCTAACTTCTTGCCAAACAATTCCACTTGGCAATCCGTCATTACCAGAAAACGAACGTGTTTCACACGAAACCCATAAGCAACCCCACTGGCTCAAGATATCAATCACCAACCATTTGTCTTTCCTCTGTGCTCCTATATCTATATTTGTAATCACCGTGTCCTGTTAATTCTCAACTAATTCCTTATATTTCTACTGCCTCTTCGTACCTCTGGCACCTAGCTCAGTTCCCGGCACATAGTGGGACTAGTGTTATGGATAGTAAAATGCTTCTTTAACTAATAGTTATTCCCTGCTTTCCAAAACAACAATAGATACCTTTTATCAAAACTAAGAAATTAACATGATTTTCATTGGCTGATTTTTTGCAAGTAGACTGTCAGGCCTTTCTTCCTAGTCTGTCTTAGTCAGCTCCACTTCAACCTGTTCAGCATCATAGCAACAAGCAGGCCTCCCCTGACAGATGAGGAATGGCTGTGCTTGAGATGCAGTGGCTGGGAATAAAACTTGGGTCTCCTGCATGGAAGGTGAGAATTCTACCACTGAACCACTACTGCCCATAGAGGCTACTCGGCTACCGTAAATGCTAGTTTATGACATTTTTTAAGTCATCCATTATACGCGAAGAATATCAAACAAAAAAGCACACTCTCAGTAGAGCCTCTTGTAGAAATAAGCAATTTTTATCAAGTGTTTTTAAAATATAAAAAACTGTAAGATAAAAGCAGGATTAAATAAGTCACCAAAATGTATGATAAAAAATAAGACAGATGTAATGAAATACTATAGTAGATTTTACAATGTTTAAATCAGTTAAACGGTCCACTTTTTGCATGTACTGGTCATTTTTAAGCGTGTCTGTAAGTTACACCTTAGAGGAATATACAACTATCCTATAACTAGAGTGCTAGATTGATCAGGAGCGCTAGTGGCTCAATGGTTAAGCGCTCAGCTGCTAACCAAAAGGTTGGTGGTTCGAACCCACCCAGTGGCTCTATAGGAAAAAGACCCGGCAATCTTCCCCCATTAAAGATTACAGCCTAGAAAACCCTATGAGGCAGTTCTACTCTGCCACATGGGGTCACTATGAGTTACAATGAACTCAATGACCCCTGACTGGTTAATAAAACACATCATAAGAGGCCATCTTCTTTAAATAAGTCACCAACAGATAAAGCGAATTTCACTTTTCACTCCATTAAAATAAAAAAAATTAAAAAAGGCTTTAAAATTCATCCAATATCAAATTTCTATCAAGGCTTCTTATCAACAGAAGCAAACTCAAAGCAGGCTCCCTCGAACAGGAGTCAGGTTTCTCTTGATATTACGTATGGAGCTGGGAGTAGAGCAGCCCTATGCTACAGCGAAATCTCGCTGATGCTTCCCAAGAGTGATAATGCTGTTTTGTGATCTCTGCCCA